CATCCTTACAATAAAACAGGATGACCGGGCGTTGGTGGCGCACGCCTTTAATCCCAGCACTCGGGAGGCAGAGGCAGGAGGATCTCTGTGAGTTCAAGACCAGCCTGTGTACAAGAGCTACTTCCAGGACAGCCTCCAAAGCCACAGAGAAACCCTGTCTCGGAAAACAAACAACAGGATGGAGATCCTGCGTTGGGCCAGGCAGTGGGCACCTGAGAAACTGAGTCCCAATGCCCACATGTTCATGAAAAAGGCTGGGGCAGCCCCAGTGACCCTGGGTAAGTCTGAAATGCAAGGCTCATGTTAACCCTAACACTTGGGGTATTAGAGAACACTGCTCCCCTCTACAAGTGAGGGTTATATGGAGCTAGTATCTCTCCCCCAACTTCCCCCGCTTGCTCCCAGTCTTCCTGGAAATGCATCTGCCCCTTGCTGGGGGCATAACAATGCTGATCTTCCACGGCCAGATGTTCCTCAAAGAGAAAGGCTTTGAACTGACAGGCGGAGACTAGAAGCTAGCCAAGTGTGGCTCACATGTGTATTTTGTTTGGACCACAGAGTGTTTTTAAACTTTTGAGCCAACGGTAAAAGGTCAGGTGATTTCACATAAAAATCCAAATTTCAGGCTGCTTCTCCTGAAGCTCTGGGTGACCCACCCACACCAGCTATGTCCCCACGTGTGATCAGAGGCTCAGTGGGAGCTGAGCAGCACCTGTGGCCTTAGTTAGGCATGCACTCTGAGCTTGCCACAGACCCCTGGATACCATCCCTGATTACGAGAAAGGTGTGTCCAGGCCAAATTCTGTGGGCTCTTTTCTCCCTGCTCCCACAGCATCCCCAACTCCCTGACAAATGAGCCTCTCCAAGTCCCCATATGCACAACTGCCTGTGGTCCCCCAGAGTCTGGGCTTCCCTCCACTAGGGCAAACATGAGTCCTCACCCCACTTTGGTAAGAACCGTCACTCGTGCCTGTCGGACCAGGCTGCCTCAGCACTGGCTCCCAGGGGCAGCAGACAAACCAAAGCCAGATTGGACAACAGACAATGTCAGGGCAACCACAGACATAAGCCAATGCCTATTCTTCACACCTGGACTGGGTCACAGCCAGTGAGGACAGCAGCCAGGCTGGGCCCTGGTAGAAATCCTTTTGTCCCTTATCTAGGCACAGTGGCACAAGCCTACAACCCTAGCACTAGGGAGGCTGAGGTGGGAAAATTATGAATCTGGGACCAGCCTAGACTACAGAGCAAGACCCTGCCTCAAAACAACAGAAAACTTCTCACCCCTGGCTGGCAGGTAAAGGCCTACCCGCCCATCTGTTGTTTTACATTCAGAGTCCACGGAGGGAGGGCACAGCTAGGGTGTGGCCAGGCCGGCCCAGGTGCTCTGTCATTTCCCGACTAGAGCATCACCATTCCTGGCCTGCCTGGATTCTGGGGTGGCCCTGTGTGGGCGTATGAGCACACACCTTGGCGGGAGGTGACGTACTTGGGCCAGAGTGGGTGTAGCTAGCACGGTGGGACAGGCCTGGCTCTATCCTGTACCCCCTGCAGCCTCCAGGGGCCTCTCCATACACTGAAGTGGAAACTTAAGTGTCTACCCCCACAAGAGGTCACACTGGGTAGAGGGATGTGACATCATCACCACACATCTCTGACCTCATATGGAGTTACCATCCAAGAAAAACTGGAACAAGGCCAGCCTGATGCTCAGTGTCGAGCTGCCAAATGGTACAAATCTGACCACCTGAGTGAGATCCACTTAAGAGTCTGAAGGAGAGGCCAACTCCTCACCTCTACACATGCACCGTGGCATGTGCGCCCACACATATCATACACGCATGCACGCACACATCATTAATTAATTAATTAATTAATTAATTAATTAATAAGGACTGAAGAGATGGCTCAATTGTTAAGCTCTGGAAGAGGACCTGAGT